AGATTTTTTTTCAGTCACAAACCATATTCATCCCAAACTACTTTCCCTCAATTTTAAACTGGATGCAGAGTTTCGTGTGAAAATACTTATAATATACTAGTACTATGTTGCTGTATCGCTGCTGTTCCAATATTTTGACAGAATCAGAATCAACTAACTTAGGAAAAATTGTTCTACCGCGCCATCTAGTGGCGAGTTACAGAAAAATTGATAGCCTCAAAACCTTCTCTATGAAAAATTACTTATACATCACGATCGGATGAGCGATGTAGAAGTTTATCACTTACCAACCAACCAACCAACCAACCAACTATCCAACAAACATCTATTTTTATATATATGATTTCTTTACGGTGTGATGTAATAAATCATTTTCGAATAGATGTTCCGTAGCCGTACATAATTGACTCGGTTAAGAAGTGAAAAATGTAATATCTANCTGATCTAAGCTTTATAAAGCATCAAAAGTTGCTGAGATGTGTACACTTTTCTTGTTTGGAATAGTGTTCCAAGCTTTTAAGAAGCAACCTTTGCAATTCCAGCGACATGATTGTGCCAAGATATATTAGTTACCATTTTAACCCCCAACAAACTTATCGAAGCAGAAAGCGGAATTGTCTGACCTGACATTATTATATCCGGTTCGGAGAAATTTATCTTCTATGAAAAAACCGATCCCTGGGTTTTTGTGGCATTGAATTGAACCTGGCTATTATTCTCTCGGCGATTAGGCCACTCGTCAGCGGCTCGTGAATACCTCGTGAATAATCCCCTTCTATGCCCCTTCCCGGATTGAGTGCCCTGTAGTAAAAACTTCGCCCCACAACTAATTTGCTCTCCGAGCGGGGGTGGATGAAGTGGATGGACACTCCAGCAAGATTGACATCTGACCTCTTTTGGTCGAAAATCAGCCTTTAGGTGCTATTCTTTCTAATTGGTGTGAATAATAGCAATTTTTATACGCTGGTTGAATAATATACTATTATTACCTGTAGAATATGAATAAATGATGAAGCCCTTTCACCTTAATCCGTGATATTATTTTTCTCTCCAGCAAAACGAAGGAGCGAATGTGCTTTTTCTGTTAACAAAAATATTTTTATTTTTAATATACGCTATCAAACCGTTGATACACTGGTGAAAATGTGTTTCAAATCATTGATAAATAGGAAGGAGAGAAAAAATAAAACTGTAACAATCTTTTGTACCTAATTAAACTGTGTCTGTTGATGAAAACTTCAAACTTTAAATCGGAAGAACGGTAAATTCATTTCATTTTAAGAAAGAAATACCGGACCTGCGACAAAATAATGGGAGCATTGAAAGAAGACCAAAGTATGTCTCCAGTGATAGGCAAAAAGAAATTGTGGATCGAAAATGATGAAATTATTTGCTGGAGGGGACATTGGAAGTGTTGAGAGCGATTTATTGATGTTTGAGTAAACCATTCTGGCGATTACCATGAAGACATGAACGACAATGTGAAGAATATTTTGGGCAAATGTCATTCCCACTAACTTTGCGTTCGTGATGGATAATGCAAGTTATCATCGGTGCCGGATTTAAGCATAGGCAACATAGGCAGTTGCCTATGGGCCGCCTCCACACCACAAACAAATCAAATTACAATAGTAACAATTGTTACAATAGTCAGTATGCTACGATGAACTATTCGATAAAAATTCAGCCCCGCATTTTTATGTCGAGTCTGGAAAAACAAGTATATATACAAGGAAATGCAAGAAAAGCTTTTTCATTTGAAGAACAAAAAACGGTGAGGCTAAAAAACGCTGGTGGTTATGTTTTTCTATATGCAAAGGGCATCTCTTTTGTTTTGTATGCAATCTTTTCTTACCCGTACGGTCACAGTTTACCCATGAGGGCTTTTGTGATTGGAGAAATGCCGTCGCACGATTGATTGATTGAACATGAAACCTCGAAAAATCATTTAAAGGCTTCAATCGATTATAGTGGGCGATCCCAGTTAATTGGTCGCATATATCGAGAACTGTCGGAGCAAATGGAAAAAAGTGTTAAACATTGGCGAGAAGTTCTTAAAAGAGTATTGCGAGTCATAGATTTTATTAGCGAAAGGGGATTGGCATTTAGAGGGAACAACGAAACTTTCAGATCTCCTAACAACGGCAACTACCTTGGAATATTAGAACTTTTAGCTGATTACGATCTTTTTTTTTTTAAACATTTAGAAGAACATGGCAACCGCGGAAGTGATCACACAAACTACTTGGCATCCACGATTTGTGAGGAACTGCTAGAAATTTTAGGAAAAGCTGTTTTAAAAAAAATATTGATCGAGTGAAAACTGCAAAATATTTTTCAGTTTCTCTGGACTCGACTCCTGACGAATGCCATGTTGACTAATTGACGTTAGTGGTTCGATTTATTGAGTGACACGCTCCTGTTGAGCGTTTTCTTATGTTTATGTCTAACCAGGATCATAAAGCAAAGTATATGTATGAGGGCTTGATTAATTTTCTAGAACAAAACGAGCTGAATCTGAAGAACATTCGTGGACAGTCCTACGACAATGATTCTGCAATGAGTGGCAGATATAATGGCCTATAAGCATTAATACAAGAAAAAAGTAGCCTAGCAGCTTGGGTGCCGTGTGCTGGGCATTCACTCAATCTCGGCAGCCAGTTATTGTCTCAGAGCAATAAGTTTCTTTGATTTTCTAGAAGAGCTGTATGTATATTTTTCTGCTTCAACTAACAGGTAGTCGCTGTTTAAGAGAAGCAAAAACTGACCAGCCTATTCTTGTGCCGAAAAGAACGACAACAATTCGCTGGTCATCTCAAGATGAAGCCACTTAAGCACTCTTGCGAGGCTATAAAGGTTTTATAATTGCCCTCAATGAAATTATTGAGGACGAAGAAGACATGATGGTATGGCAAAGTTAGAAACAGCTATATATACAGTTTTTTGGGACATATATTGGGACATATAAACAAAGTCAGTGAAAGCCTACAAAATTCTCGTTTGGACTTGAACACTGCTGCAGCACTGCTTACTTCATTAAAATCAACCATTGAAAATGAAGAGACAGTTTTAATGAATATGAAGTAAAAGCTTTCGAGCTCGTTGATTGCCGAAACTACGAAGAAGAAAAAAGGAGAAAAACAAAAAGAAACGTCCGGTTGTTCACTTTAGATTTCACGCAAGCTTCGGAAGTTCAGTTGTCACCCTCGGACAAATTTATAACTCAAAGCTACCTCCCAGTTATCGACCAGCTCATGACCGCTCTTCAGAAGAGAATGGACGCGTACCCACTTCTAAATGCACGATTTGGATTTTTGAAAAATTTAACAACTATTTCTGATCAACAAATTTTGTCTGCCAGCCAAAACTTGGTGAAAACCTACTGCGACGACGTAGATGATACTCTTGACAACGAATTTATACATTTCAAAATATTTCATAGTTCATATCATAGTTCACTATGAAGAATTTGAACAAAAGAGAAGAGGAGAGATTAGCTATGAGAGATGGATGTATGAATTGTTGTGTGAAAACAATGTTAAATAGTGCTTTCCCATCGTTGAGGTAATTTTGAGAATTTATCTCACACTAATGGTGAGATAAATTCTCCTTTTCTCCTCTTTTCGAAACAGAAACTTATAAAAAATGAACTCCGAAGTTCTATGACCAAGGTCAGATTAAATATTTTGGCTCTCCTTAGTTTAGAGAGTGATGTTTTGAGGGAAACAGACTTCGACGATATTATCGATACGTTCATTAATGTGAAAATCAAACGAACAATAATTTAGCTTGTAGGTACCTCTAGTTCAATTTTGAATACATTTTGTTAGCCAATTCATTCAGTTGCTCCCTTCTTTAACTTTACCTTAACAGAAACTTTCAACAGTTAACCACAAACGATTTGAGGGCCTCCACCACATGCCCCGCCTATGGGCCGCCGAAGTCCAAATTCGGCGCTGGTTATCATTCCAGAAAAGTTGAAAGAATACCAATTAAAGCAAGGAGAAAAGCGATTATCATTGACAAAAAAAATATTTTGATGAAAGTATGGTTAAAAAAGAACTCTTGTCCAAGGCATGTTCAAATGAAGCCCACTTAATTCGTTTGGGCTCAAATAGAAGTTTTCGTTACAAGATGAAATACTGCATTTGAAATAAATGGTGTCAAAATATTCTTTGAGGATCCTTGAAAAATGTCGATTCCGAAAAACGTTATAAAAGAGGAAAACAACATGTAAAAATCAGACTATTGAGTTGAGGAAATTGTAGAATAATAACACACCATAATTTTTGCCTATACCTTTAACTTTTAATTTTTTTGAATAAGCATACTTATTCAATATTGTATATATTAGACTGTCATAACGATACAAACACAGGCCTCTGCAGGTTATAAAACGACCCGAAGGATCATAAAATATTTTGTTTGCGTTATGCCTGTTAAAGTATTATAAATCCACCCATTCATGCTGTGCGGTATATTTATAAACTATCGCCATTATGGCTAACTGAATATATTGTAATTATTGTCCAGGAAATTGAATATGGTTATGTATAAAAAAACCTTGTAGATCATCACAGTACTGGAAGGCCAGAGGGCCTTGCCAATAAGAAAAATTGGTAATTATTTGGGACCTACCAAACGTAAATTATCAGGTTTATCAAAAAATACGAATTCAATCTAAAAGTGAAGTGTCTTTATTTTTGATTGTATAGAAAATTGTTTCGAAACAGAATTTGAAGGTACTTTACTCTTGAGCAAAATTAATATTTTTTCTTACATCAATTCTCATTAAATTAACAATACAAAAGTTTTCCATATAGATCGATGTCGTTGATGCGGGATTTTCGATGGAACATCTACTATAAAAAGTCTACTAAATATTTTCAAACTTCAAATAAACAAAAAAGGTCTATATGGATAAAAAAGTTGATTTAGCGAGAAATTATCTTTATGGTTCAATTTGAGCAAGTTATTAACAATTTCTCGTTTTATTCCAGGTATATGTTTCCTATATTCAGAAAAACCTTCAAGGAACAGTTAACGGAAGACGATCTGTTCAGACCCTTGAAGGAATATAAGTCTAGCGAGATAGGATCAAGGTTGGAAAGAATATGGAAAGAAGAATACAGGATACATAAAAAGACAGCCCTATACAGGGCAATATTTAGGTTATTCGGTTTCAAATTCGCCCTGTACGGATTCTTGAGATTACTTAACGAACTTATGTTAATGTGAGTATTAGAAAAAATTATATTTGATTATTTATCATTTTAATTCTGCGACTACCTCGCAAAAAAAAATTTACTAGTTTTTTAATTTATTTCATATTGATTATACCGCGTAGTCTGGCACTACTGGCAACAAACACTACAAATGTTGAGGAATCTAGATATGAGCGAAGCACGTATTCATTGATTTTTCAAGCTCACTTTAAAAGGCATCGGGTTGTTTGGTGTAGCAAAGGTTCTCATCGTAATCACTTTACGTTGTCACTTGTGAAAAAAAGATGAAAATAGTACTTTCAGGAGGATAAGAGCCATACTTTTAGGGTCGTATCATGATAACTTGAACTTAAAGATGTGTGCCTTTCATCTCTCTCATTGTTTTTCATTTTTACGATTCCACAAAGTGAGAAACTGTTTAGCTTGAGTAGGTATACTCAGATGCCGATTATCAAGGATTCCCAACTCCAGCTGTCATGGGGAGCAGATAACTCGAGAAATTATCAAGGTATTTTTCCAGATAGTCTATTATTGTCGGATTTTGATTTGAAAAAATTAGCTGCAGGAGTTTCATAAAAGGTGCATCTAGTAATGTCCTGCAAAAAAATCTCGCTCCTTTCTTGTTTTGGGCGCCGTTTATTAATTTGTGTGATAATTAATACCGTCTTTGCTTAGGCAACGACTAAAGGTAACGGTACGAGGTTAGGATTTTGTAATCCACCAAGAAAATTTTAGTTGACGTAATCATGAAGAAGAGGATCGCGTTCTGTCCAGGAGATGAGTGCAAAAGGGGTCAATAATGAGAATATTACCGGTCAGGTTGTAGTAACTGAATTGTCAATACAGACTTGTGCGACATAACACTATAGCAGGGGTGGGTGGCAGGTACACCGTAGATTCAGAAAAAACTCTTGTCAAGACAATAGCAGACAACGATCATATACTGGTACAACAGGTATACCAAACAATGGACCATTTGAAGAAGATAACTTGCCTCTTCCTGAAATGGTATCCGAAAAGTAGACACGACGAAAGATGACCCCATGGAAGTCTATCTAATTTAGTCAGCACGAAATGACGATCGGGACAACCCGGTACCATAAGAAGAGGGATTCAACTGGAGAAAACCTATCATTGGAGAGGTTTTTATGAAGACGTCAACAGTAATGAAGATCAAGATGGAGAAGCCATGACTAAGTTTGAAGGAAGGACAAACATCAAAATAGCCGGGGATTGGACATAGCGTTATTGACCAGGGCAATAACGTTTGAAGCTTTCGTAGTATTGAAGTAGGATTTGGTAATTGGGGTACCTATAGGGTTGTAAATTTGATAATAATAATAATAATGTTATTGAAAGTAATGTATTGCAAATAAATTAAGGTAACTCACAAAAAGTGAACTTTCGGCGTGAGATGCCTAACTACAGTGAAAGTTTATAAATAGGCTAAGCTAGTGTTGAGAGAATGTCTCCTATACACAGTTATAGTACTCGAATGTAGGAGAAATGTTTTTGTTATATTTAAATGGATGTAACCAGTCACGAATATTTTCAGTCATTTGATATTTTTTTATCTAATCATAACATCCTTTATTGTACATGATAACTTCATTTGGATGTTATGACATTCTTTTGATTTGTTCAAATCTGTTTAAAATCTATTGTAACAACCCTTGGAAGTCGAAACTTGTGCGAGCTAACGACTAACGAGGTCTTAACTTTTAACGTATGATTCCTAACACGGGTTAGACGATGACAAGTGAAAATCAATAGTTCAGCCTGGAGCTTAAACTACTGACCAACACGGATATGAGGACAAATGCAAATTTCAGTTGGTTTTTGGAAAGACTATGTTCTCCCCACTTATGAATTATAAATAATCCCAAAATCATTAGTTATCTTTGGTGTTCCTCTTCAGTTATGCAAAACATTAATTTTTCTGGAGCTTCTTTATTTCACTGGCATTTGCCAAAAATCCCAAAATCATTAGTTATCTTTGGTGTTCCTCTTCAGTTATGCAAAACATTCATTTTTCTGGAGCTTCTTTATTTCACTGGCATTTGCCAAAAATTCAAAAAAAATGTGTTGCATATCAACTATATCAGGATCCTCTTGATTTATAATTAGAATAGAAAGTATATTGGATTGATTAAACGGAATTTCACTAACAAAGCAAACTAACATATCTTTCTTTTTCAGAGTTGTAATGCCTTTATGTATAGGAAAACTAGTTTCATTTTTTGATGTAGACCAAAAGACAATATCACAAAACGAAGCCCTCTCGTATGCAGGCTGTTTAGTACTGTGCCTACTAGTGGATGCCTTCGTTGGCCATCCCACCCTCATGGGGTTGCAACACTTGGCAATGAAGATAAGAGTGTCTTGCAGTTCTTTAGTGTATCGAAAAATTCTAAGATTCAGTAGGACTGCTTTAGGTAATACAACTGTCGGTCAATTAGTAAATTTGTTATCCAATGACGTCAGTAAATTTGATCAGATGTTTGGTTTGGTTCATTACGTGTGGATTGGACCGATACAAGTTGGTTTGGGTACTTGGTTGCTGTATAAAGAAATTGGAATAAGTGCATTTTTTGGTGTGGCTTTCTTGGTATCCTTTGTACCAATACAAAGTAAGTATTTTTAGTAGTAGATTGTTTCAAAAGTTTTGTACATTTCAATGTCATGTGTTTCTGAGGCTACATATCTCAATAAATATTTATTCTACTGTGTCATGGTATATACTGATCGATAGAGAATTTTGTACTCTATACACTGATACTATTCATTTTCCCTCAAATTTTAGATTTTATACCTCTTTTCTGCTTATTACTAGATACTATACAGGGTGTAACTAAATAAGTGTAAAACATTTAAGGAGGTGATTCCTCATAGAAAAAAAGATAGGATCTTTCATATTAAGAAATTTCTTTGGAGCATCCCTTGTTAAGATACAGCCCCTTAAAGGGGGTACATAAAATTTGTATAACAATTTTTTTCACAAGTACTAAAAAAGTTACAATATTGAAATTAACCTGACGTTTTGTACTACCAAAAAGACACTTCGAAGTTCTGCCTCACTCACTTTACTTCTTAGGCCGCTTTTCAACCGACTACCATCTTTCCAAGCACTTTCTCACTGGTAGAACCTTCGCCAATCAAGACCAGGCAAAAATGGACTTCGTCGACTTTAGTAGTAGTCTGAGTTTGAATGAGAAAAAAACTAAATGTATTTATTACATTCACCCTATTGCAGAACGATCAACCTGGATATAACGTAATCCATATACATGACAGAGACTACTAATACAACAAACTGCAATTGTGCTGTTATAGAAAGAACGAAAATGATTAAGTATCTGGGAGTTATTGTGGATTGGTGTATTATATGAGATAGGATAACCACATAAACTATGTTGTAAAACGGCTCAGACTCTTAACTAAAAAATTCTATGAATTGAGAAATATTATGGAGTACAAAAATGTTATCACCATATACCAGTCTCTAGCATAATCTGTAATAATATATTGTATTGCTGCCTGGGGTGGTACTTTTAACAATTCCCTCAATATCCTCCAAATATCTCAAAATACAATGTTTGTTTGAAGATGTTTGACAATGTTTCGTGGTTTATTTCATCAATTCGGACATACATTGTCTAATATAATATAAATTGATTTGAAATCCCTGAAAAAAATAAAAAGATTAACCGAAAATGACAATTTTATTAAACAAATAACTGAAATTACAAAGAAATAACATACAAGCAACAACCAAAAAAATAAAAAAATTGAAATATTAATAAAAGCTGAAAATTAAAAATTAAAAATTTTTTTTAACAAAAAATGAAAAATAAAAATTAAAAGATTCCAAACCAAGTTATGTCACGACGTTTCGATTGTTAGTATCCACAATCGTCTTCGGGTGATAACTGGACTTATTCCTCCGAGATCTGACTATTTATAGGTCATTCGAGTGCTTTCACCTATCCCCTCTCTCCGCTTCATTGGTTTTAGGGGGAGATGACCGTTTGGCGGGAGTTATTGGACAACATATACGTGGCTTCTTCGAATTTTTCTCCTAAACCGGTGTTCCTCTTTGTGGATGATTTTCAGCTTGAGCCCACTTTATGTTATGTCGACGAGTCCAAACATGCTCTACTATTCCGGATTCGCGGGTTTCTCCTCACTGTGTGTGTTTCTTGTGCTCAGCAATTCGAACTTTCAATGTCCTCTTAGTTTCACCGATGTATGATTCACCGAACTCACAGGGTATCAGGTAAATGCAATTCTTGGAATCGCAGTCCGCGTTTGATGGCCTGGTTTTCGAGAGGCTGCTACGGATAGCGTTCCCAGATCTGAAGCAGGTCCTGATGTTATACTTGGACCCAATTCTTATTCTTTTCGATAATCTTCTGATGTAGGGAAGTACAAGTGCTGGTTGTGGCGGGTTCTCTTCCTTGTGGAGCTCTTGCTGTCGTCTAGCTATAGCCTGTTCTACCATCACTCTGGAGTAACCATTCCGTTGAAGGTCATTTTTGATGATGCCTAGTTCCTTTTGCGAGACCTTCCTTTGTATTACAGAGCCCGAAAGCACAGTCTAGTAGAGTCTTGATGATTCTTCTCTTAGTCGATTGATGGTGTTAGGTGAAAGCACTCGAATGACCTATAAATAGTCAAATCTCGGAGGATTATCACCCGAAGACGATTGTGGATACTAACAATCGAAACGTCGTGACGTAACTTGGAATCTTTTAATTTGGAATCTTTTAATAAAAATAAATTGAAATAAAAATTGAATAGTAGTAAGTTTATTGATTACCTTACTTACTCAAATATGTTTTTAGCAAGTCATTATAATCAAAATGAGTCTTAAATATTGGACATTTTAAATATTAGACAACACAAACATTTTGAAAATTATTTAAAATGCAGTCTGCAGTCAGAAAAAAATATCTACCCAATATCAAGTCGAATTCCGAGCACCCAATGAATGGATTGACTTGTGTTAAGTTGGCAAAAGTGCACTGATTCAAATGGCGCTTATTTCAAAACAATTGAATAAGTGTAGTAGAAAGATGGAGTAGTAGAAAGCCAAAAACTTTCTTACCCAAAAATTATTCACTCCTAAAAATATAACCCCTTCAATTCAAATTGAATAAATATTCAGGAGATATTACAGTTTAAAATAGACTCATAAAAACGCACAAAACTTTTGAAACAACTTAATATTATTATCAAATGTAGCATACCTATGACTAGATAAGACTGATTAGTTGCTATGATTTGCAGTCTAGGATCTTGTTGGGTTATTTAACATTTTTTCAGCCTTTCCACATTTTGGGGACTAGATTAAACTCCACACTGAACTTTTGACATACGAATGGGTCACTTGTGATCTCAATGAATAGGTATCTGCACTGAATAGTAAGATTTACACCCACTTTTGTTGAATATTTGTTTTCAAATATAACTATGAGACTCAGCATGCTTTGACTTGATTGTTCAGAGTTACTTGCCATCTTAAATCTTCCACTATTTCCTGAATAGGATTGGATATAGTAACCATTGAAATATGTATTCGAAGATCAAATTTAGTAAATATCATCAAATTTTGACGACAAAAAAGGTTCACTATAATTGTCATAAATGTAGGTGTTATCAAATAAAGTGTAATGAGGTAAAATCAAGTTGAGTTAGGTTAGGTGGTTACAGTATGTAATTAATGTCTGAATAAACCTAACCATCAAATTAGGTCAAATTAAGTTAAATTAGGTTTCATAATAAAATGGTATTTTAATTTTGGCGATCATTTACCATTTTTGGTAGTACAAAATAGTCAATTTTAGTGATCATACACTGTTTTTGGTGGTATAAATTATTTATTTGGTGATAAGTTTAACAAAAAAACCATGACAAATTACTCCAAATAGGTTCAATTTCAAATGAAGTATCTCTCTATATGTTTATTACATAATACTCCTACCCTACCACTAGCTTAACGTTAAAATTCAACTCATCTTACACACAGTACATTCAATAAAAGCTATAAGAGAAACTAATTCAATACTTCAAATCGCCATTGGCTGCATTAAACAGAATTACATGCCATTCATTGTATCGGGGTTATTTTTGGGTCCATTTTGAGAGGAAAACTTGATATGAACATATACCAAGTGTTTAATTTTGAATTACAGGCAAGATTGTAATAAAAAAATCTTGTTTCACAATTTACGTGTGACATAGACATTTTGATGAAGATTAGTACGTATCTTTCTACATGAGAACTCATTTTCTAACGTATGAAATTGGCAGTGGTGTCCGTGTGGGATTTGCACTGATTCATTTCAAGGAGAATCCCAAATTTTTCTTCAAGTGGGAAAATGTATTCGATGGACCAGTGATTTTTGCATAAAAAATAAAACTCATTGATTTACGTCTATAGAAAGTGCAATTAATGTAACATTATAGAATAAGTTACTTGATAGAATGATTTTTGAGTCGTAACATTATGAAATTAATGTTATTCAGATACATTTTTGATTGGTAACACAAAATTTTCCTATAAAATAAATTAAATCAGATGTTGAAAAGGTCTGTCTCATGTGAATATACATGCCATCACGAACTTGTATATGAATATTACTGGAGTTTTTTCCCAACACCGAACCGTTATTTTAACACCTCGATACGTGTTTCGATCACCAAGTGATCATCTTCAAGAGGAAGATGTATGTATATGGTTTCATTTGTGGTCCAGATATCTTGTCATAACAATACCAGAGTCTGTTTGTTATCGAAAAATACTTATTAGACCTTGATACTTTTAGTAAGGTTTTTCCGATGATTTGAAAGTTCCAAACTTGGTAGACGGATAGACAAATATTCATATCTACAGAACACTGATGTAGTTATTTTTTGATCGCAGGCCAATAGGTATCAGATGCAAAAGTAATTATGACTTTGAGTTATTCTTCACGTGACTAAACATATTGTAGTTCTTTTATATGATACCTAATATTTCACATATATCTTTGTTTCAGTTTGGTTAGCAAAGAGAGCATCTGTGTTGAGACTACGGACTGCTCTGAGGACGGATGAAAGAGTTCGTTTGATGAACGAAATAATTTCAGGCATACAAGTTATCAAAATGTACTGCTGGGAGAAGTCGTTTGAAAAACTAATAGCATTTGCCAGAAGGTGAGCTGAAAACATATAGACAATTCAGGTTTTTTCCAATTTTTGACTTGCTGTCAAATCTTTAGTTTGCAAAAACTGTACTGACATACAAATTTATTGAGGACTTGAAAATTTGTTGAGGAAGCAGTTGCCATTTTCTACCTGTACTAAGTTATTGATTATTCTGAAATTTCCCAGAATAAATTAGTTTCTGATAATCGCCAGTATTCAGCTTAGCGCACATTGCCCACATTGTCACAGATAAACAAAATTCAGGTACTTAATTAAGTTAAGGACCGACTGTTATTACACAAAGTAGTGTATAGATATATAAGGGTTCATTATCAATTATTTCAGTTTATTGTATTAATTTGAAAATGTCCTTATAGGACGAAACCGCAGTAACGTACAAATACAAATGATATAAAAACATAGAAAGTTTTATTTTTCAATTTTCATGATGATCTTTTACCACGTATTAACAGCTACTTCCATCAATTTACTTCATGTGATAATGATAATTTTGGAATGTCAATCAGATGAGGACAGTTTCTATCTTTCACTGAAATACCCAACGGACAGTAAATATGCACAAGCTCTGACAGATTTTGAAATATCTAGTCGATATCTGAGAGGAACTGGTGGGTCAAACTGCGAAAATATTTTAATTAAAATGGAATTCACTCAAATGAACTATATTCCTGTCAAAAATGTCAATAAACTACCTGAGATATACAAGAAAGATCTTCCGCTCAGATCCATCATCAGTTCAAGAGGTCCAGTCACCCATAACTTGTCCAGATTCCTACTTCTAATCATTCAACTACCAAAAGGCATTTTGTCAAGTTACTGGATGCAATGGAAGTCACAGAACAATCAATTAATCAGTTTCTACATTGAAAGCTTGTACAACAACTTTTTTGTCGAAGAAGCACTTCAAATCATACAGAGGAAGCTATTCGAAGACGGGAAACATCTGTATAGCGGAAACCCACTCATACGGGACAGTATCTCAATCACTTATCCCACCACCGCCAATCTGTCAGGAGAGGAATCGACACTAATTGATCATACATTCACGTTCTATACACAAAACAGAGTCTCGACAAGAAACTAGACCACATCGGGAAAGATCTTCAGCAGAATAGTTAATCCAAAAATCTGGTGGATCAAACTTTGGCTAGAAGACAAGAGTTCCGTGAAGAAGAGAGGCCGCCACAACCAGTGCTATCCCTCCTTTACGTCAGAGAAGTGTCAGAGAGGTTAAGAAGGATTGGGTCCAACTACAAGATAATAACCTGCTACAGATCAGGAAACATTGTCCCTAACGCCCTCACAAAAACCTAGCCACCAAACGCGATTCTAGAGTTGCATTTACCGAATACCATTTGAGTGTGCCAATCCTGGATGGGTGAAACCAAGAGGCCGTTGTAATTTCGTATTGGCGAGCACAAGAAAAACACACAGCGAGGAGAAACGAGCATATTGGGATTGCGATATGGACTTATGAACATAACATCAAGTGGTTCGCCATTGAGATCGTCCAGACGGAGAAACACTGGTATGAGAGGAAGTTTTAAGAAGTTGCACAGATGTTGACCAACGATGCCTTAAACCAGGCTTGTGTGGAGAAACGCAACATATATAACCTCTAATCAAGCGGGAAAACTGTCTACGGAACTGGAAAGCAGGGGAGAGGATGGGGAGAGGGGAAGTCACCCAAGTGACCCATAAATAGTCTCAACTAGCTGAAGTAGTCCAGCCATTTCTCGAAAACAGTTATGAATATGAACAAATCGAAACTTCGTGAAGTAACTTAGTTTTATTATTTTAAATGGTTTTATTTTTTTTTTTTTCGTTTATTTTATTGTATTTTTATTTCACTTTATCAAAGTTTGTGTATAACCTAACCCATTTTCAATTCATTTTCAGGTCACAACAATCTGTTTTCTTTACAAATTAGAATTTTTTGCTATTCATTCTCAGTCATTTTTTGTAATTTATATAAACTAGAGATAGTTAAGTACAATTACAATAAATTAGTATACACAAGTAAATGTTATAATTCTGACTACAGACTACTTTTCAATGTAGATAACGTAATATCAGTAACCTCCAATTTTCTATCATTGATCCTTTTGAGCGTGCAATCGATGGAAGAATATATGCCATAGTTGGTGGTTTAGAAAGGAAGGTGAAAGAGATCAGTATTCCTGAGAGCTCTAGCAGGCATGGATTTTATGTAGGAGTTCAGTGCATATAACAAGACCATTAATTAATTTGTATATAAATATTATATCAGCATTTTCTCTTCTCTCACTCAATGAACTGAGGTTGAGATCATTTGCAATAAAATTATAATTATGTTTCTCTATATTTTAGTATTTTATATATTTTTAACAATCAATTCATTTTCATTTCGTTTGTTTTTTCATAGATTTCTAATCTGAATGTCTTAACGTCATTTTAGACCATGTAAGTCCTAACTTATATTTTGTCAGTTGGTTTTTGCGCGCTAATGTTAACGGCTCAATCTATTTGGATACGGTTTTTTTCACCTATATGTTTTCTGTTTGAAAAAAAAAAGTTTTTTCGTTAACCAGCTGTCGTTTCCCCCCTCCCCACGAATGACAACCCTTAAAAGTCGAAACTTGTGCGAGCTAAGGACTCACGAGGTCTTACCTTTTAACGTGTGATTCCTGACACGAGGTGGACAATAGGAAGTGAAAATCGATCGTCTGGCCTTGCGATTCGAACCACCGGTTCGCACATAGTCGATTGAGTGAGTGGAGCAAACCACCCTCGTCAACCCACCAGGCTACCGTCTCAAGCTTCACTCAACATTCATTGTTTGGTTAGGTAGTTCCAATCGGTACATTAAAAAAATCAGTTGAGTAATCATGTCAAACTTTTGTTTGGAAAAGTACTATATAAATTATATTCAGTTGGTTTGACTAAAACTTTAGTTTAGTATATTCATAGTTTGTAAAACGATGTTTTCATAAATCAAAAGAGGTGAAGTTATGAGATATTTGTACTGTTAGAATATCTGGGAAAACCCAAACATTGAAAGTCACTCAATCAAAGTCACTGGCAACATCTAGTGTTATATATTTGTTACATCTTATAGATACTCGTGTTTCGAAATGCCAGTGTTTTTGTTCTGTTAAGTAATTACCTACTCAAAAATATCAAATCATAATATTTTATTCTCATGATTTCAGGACAGAAATGAAAGCTATTCGATCCCGTTCAGTCTTGCTTGGAATAATATATTCCTTTGAAATCTTTATTTCAAGGACGTCAATCTTCATAAGTATCCTGGGATATGTTCTCCTTGGAAACTACATCAGTGCCGAGAAAGTGTTCGCTATTACAGCTATCTATAACTGTTTACGACCGACAATTACTATACTATTCTCCCTGAGCGTCTCGTCTTTGGCAGAAATGAGTATATCCATCTCACGACTACAAGGTTTACTGTATCTTGATGAGAAAGAAGAGGATACTTCAACGCTAGGGAAAAAAGGAAAGGAATTTAACTCAAAAAGAGTGAATTCTCCAGAACTCAACTCAAAAACCTCAAACGGAATGAAGAATGGCATACTTGAACCAGTGATGGAAACATACCAGAAAAGTAACACGCCAAAGATAATGCTAGAGAAAGTGTGCGCAAAATGGAATAAAGAATCAACGGAAGATACTCTAAGCAACATCACTTTTAGCATAACCTCCAGTAAACTTCTAGCTATTGTAGGACCTGTAGGGAGCGGGAAAAGCAGTATTTTGAACCTCATTCTGAAAGAGTTGCCGGTGAAGTCAGGTAAACTTAAAATTTTGGGAAAAATTTCATATGCATCTCAGGATCCATGGCTGTTTGCCGCAAGTGTCAGACAAAACATTCTTTTTGGGGAAGAATTCGATCAAGAACGTTATGAAAGAGTGGTTGATGTCTGTGCATTGAGCTCTGACTTCGATTTACTTCCCTATGGTGACAAAACGCTGGTGGGAGAGAAAGGTAAAACTCTCAGTGGTGGCCAGAAGGCCAGAATCAACTTAGCAAGGTGTATATATAGACTAGCTGATATTTACCTATTGGATGATCCTCTTTCGGCGGTGGATGCTAATGTCGGTAAACACTTGTACGAACGATGCATCAGAGAATTTCTAGCCAATAAAATCTGTGTCTTGGTAACCCATCAGCTGCAGTATCTCAAGGAGGTAGACAACATCATTATTATGGAGGATGGCGAGGTTCAGATGGAAGGAACGTATCAAGAACTGCAAAAAAGCGGGCTAGATTTCACGAAGATTATGGAGGACTTTCAGGGTGAAGAGGTTGATGAGAAAGAGAAAAAGAAAAAGGTTAGATCTAGACAGAATACTATTGGCGAAGAGGACGACAGCGATGATGAGGAACAAAGTCTTGAGAAAGAAACCATGGAAAGCGGCAGTATCAAAGGTGCAACTTATTGGGCTTACTTGAAAGCAGGCGGTGGAAAGTTATCTATATCATTTTTGATATTCCTATTTATAGCTTGCCAGGTGGTTGCTAATGGAGGAGAATATTATGTGACCTACTGGTAAATATAGCTTTCTTATATATTTTTATTGTTATGGAATGTTATGGACATACCAAAACACACATTGTCATTATAAATCTTTGTTTTTAAGTAGTCAACTTGTATTAATTTGGAACAAGATGTTTTGACTGAAACATATTGATGTGAAGTTAGGCCTATGCCATTTTTTGGTATGATCCAACATCATTGAATCATTGGCAATTATGAATAAACTAATAAGCAAATGAATCATTGAACATTGAAAAACTGTAAACGGACGAATACCCAGCATATATGCATATGCACATACACGCATACTCAATTATTATAGTTTGTTTGTTATAGTCTATAAGAACTCAACCCGAACAGCTAAATAAAAGACTAATGTACCAGGTCTGATGAATTTACTATTTAGTTTTTGTCATTCGAATTGACTTCGTATTTACTATACTAACAACTATCATTTTTATTTCTAGAACATGTTTAATAGAGGTGTGGAAGTGTGTCTACCAAACTATGAATTATCCCAAGAATTGAGATTTTTTTTATAATTATGATCTGAGTCTATACTCATTTATAAAAAATAAATACCAAGTTTGTCATTTATTATAGTTGAAATGGTTGTTTGTCTTCACAGATGGCACTAATAAGTATATCCCCAGTTAACCAATGAATTTCAAAATTCCTAATGTGTTATATTAGTTTGTTTCAAAAGTTTTGTCCGTTTTCATGAGTGTATTTCAAACGGTAGTATTCCACGGAACATTTATTCAATTTAATCGAAATAAGTGTCAGTGCACTTTTACCAATGTAACAAAAGTCGATTTGTCTGGTCCTAATCGGCGAAAGCTCTACCGGTGAGAAAGTTATCGGAGTGCGTGAAAATAATAATAATAATGTTGGTGCAGGGCCTGCCACGAGGCGCCCGAGACCCTAATGCACTTGCTATCAGCATGTCCAGCATATGCGGTCTCGGCCTATATCCATCGACATAACGCGGCCCTAAGAGTGCTATATTACCATCTACGGCACTATTACGGTATTGAGGAGACACCGGTGTTGCCCTACGCTCCGGGGTACATTGAATCCGTTGTGGGGAACGAGAAGTGCCGAATTTATTGGAACTATTCGTTTCCCACCCTTCTCGACCACCTGAGCAAGACGAACAAATGGAGTTTTCAGCTCCTGGTGAGACGAATATCGTCCGAAAAGAGGAGGAAAAACGGATGAAATATCGAGATTTTCTCTTCGAACTCCGCAGACTCTATACAAACCACTCTGTCAAGATGGTTGTTCTGATTATTGGAGTCCTTGGTGGAATGATGCCCTCTCTACTCTCGAATCTTAAAATCATACCGGCTTGCCGCATTAAGGCAGAGATCTTAGCCACACAGATGCAGGAGGCTGGCTTTCTTGGCTCACTGCGCTTGCTCAGGGCACATGATTCTCGGACCCAATGATCACTTACCACACGGTGTGGGGATTGCTGACGCAGTTTTCGGTATATTTTGTCAATTCCTCAAATAGAACTCTGCTGTGATGGTTTGGCCCGGTTGCAGAAAGTTACAACCATACAGTAACTATGGTTTTTTTTTTTGGTGGGTTTTCGCCTTTGGGAAGTGCCTGAGTGTCTCATCGATGTCCAACCACTGTCCTGAACGTCTCCTTGTGTCGTAGATGATACATTTTTTAATCACACGTGACGATTCGATTAAAAAAAGTATCGTTTTGGTCGCGCAAAAGTGAGGAAAAAAAGACCTCGAAACGTGACTATTCTGTTGATCGTTCAAACCATGGGGCACCCACTTTTCGAGCTTTCTGACTTTCCAATACAATTTGAACCATCGCACGCACCGATTGTGATGAGTCTCCACCAGGGTCTTCAAATCCACGGCCTGGATTACTGTAGGTCGACAACTTCGGGGCTCATCTTGGAGGCTAAAATCTCCTGAACGAAATTTCGCTAACCAACTTTGAACAGTGCATTTATTAACACCATCATTGCCAAATGCCTGGTAAATTTCTCGAGCTGATTGGGTAACATATTCGTAGAGAAAATTGGCCAAAAATCGCCTAACGACACCTTACAGTAATGAGCCGAAAAGAGTCAAAAAATGAAAAATTGGAAAAAATGAACAGCATCTTTCTATAGAGTACAAAATTCTCTATCAATCAGTATATAGCACGACACAGTAGAATAAATATTTATTGAGATACGAACCTATAAAAATACATGATATTAAAACGGACAAAATGTTTAAAATAACCTAATACTATACGAGTATCACTTATATAAATATTATGAATAAACTGTGGTCTGAATCTCTGTTTATTGAGGAATGTTGAACACAATCCTTAGAGGTAATAAATAAAGTGAAGACAATTTTGTTTTTCTTTGAGCTCAAAACACGAAATATGAAAAATGTGAGGATTTCAAGAAAAACTCGAAATTTGAGAAAAATGAAGCGTGCTCCTTCATAGCTTTGTTCATCTAAAAACATCAATATTCGATTAATAGTCCACTTAGCATTAAGAAATGACTCAACCAACTTGAAGTGAATTGGCCAAAAAATTTCATTAGTATAATGAACCATGATTATTTTTTCCGATCAGTATTTCCTGTGTTATATAATCTAAACTCTGGTTGTTTAGAAGCCATCTAATTTATCCAAGTCTTAAAAGTCTCCAGAAACCACTGCATATCCTTATATGGGTCCACTGCGATTTCCCACCCACATTTTCATAACACCCATTTTACCATTCTTGTTCTCTCTACTAGTTTGAACAGGTTCTTTGTTGGAAATTTTTTGTCATATTTTCCTGACAATTTTGATTGTACATTTATGGTGTGGCCTGCTTTTCAAGAATCCGTCCTCATATTTCTGTTACCAAGAATACAATTCGGAACATACTCGGAATGTTGGTGTATATGCAAAATTCCTTCAAATTAACCAAAGTACAACTTATCAAATATAGAAAAAAACTTGATATTTTCTCTCTCTCACTCTCTCTCGCACTTTCTCTCACCTTCACCATTTTCTAACAAATTTACTTTGCAATATTTAGTTTTCAAACTATAATAGGCGAAGTTCTGATTATTTAATAAACCCTGTAGGTGAGTATTATAATTTCTTGGGATTATTAATGTGAATATAAACTTCAACTAATTCACAGATAAAACTGAAAGATGCACTTTTTGCAATGCTGAATCTATAGTTATCATAACGACCTATGTAGATCCATGTCATATGTAGAAGTGTTTGTTATTCTGAAGTATTTCATAACATTACTAATACATTTTTGGTGTGTTATCAGTAAGATTACAGGTGTCAAATAATTGCCAAAATATCAATTCTAGGGTGAATCTGGAACAAGATTTCGCAGAGAAAGTTGCCAAAAATCAAACCAATGCCAATGAAACCTTAGACCGTGATTCAATCATATACTACTATTCTGCAATCACTGTAGGAACAATAGCCATTGCATTAATTAAATCCATCTTTTTCATGGTATTTTTTTCTGTGGCTTCAAGAAACTTACACGACTACATATTCTCGAGAATAATAAAGGCCACTATGCGATTCTACAACAACAACCCATCAGGAAGAATCCTGAATAGATTTTCGAAAGATTTAGGAACTGTCGATGAGTATATTCCATCTGTTATCCTAGATGTCATGGAGGTAATTTAAAACAAGGTATAATCAAGACATATTATGAAAGTTGTAAGTTTTCAGATTTTTCTTCTACTTCTTGGGGTAATTGTTTTATCGTCCATCGTGAATGCCTGGCTGTTGCTGCCCTCATTATTTTTAATTATCCTGTTCTACTTCATAAGAGTAGTTTACATAGAGACAAGTAGAGCTGTGAAGAGGATCGAGGCAATAAGTGAGTTGTGAAAAATTGATTTCTTCAGGAGTTTATCCCAAAATCGTAAGAAATTTTCTTTTGCAGCCAAAAGTCCCATTTTCAGCCATATGACAGCAACAATACATGGTTTGGGCACCATAAGAGCGTTTGCTGCGCAGGATATGCTCGTAAAAGAGTTCGATAATTATCAAGATATGCACAGTTCCGCATGGTTTTTGTATATGGCCTCAAGCAGATGCTTTGGTCTTTGGCTGGACTTGATTTGTATAACCTTCATTGCAGTCGCCACTTTCTTTCTTTTACTCTTCGGTGAAGGTTAGTTAATATATTATTTTATGTCTGAAGACACAATCGAGGTTTATCATCTCATGATTATAATTGATATACAAAAGTGAGTTCATTGGAACTCACGTTCCAACATATATTATGAATTATTTTTGCCAATGTTTTCAGCCTCTCAAAGTTTCCGAATTCAAAGTAAATTTTGAATATATCATTCTGTTATGAGTACAGCAATCTAATAATTGGTCGATCCTTAATTTTTTTACAGAAAATCAATCTATTGTTTGAAGTATTTCGATCTAGAAGAAAGCGTTTTTTGTTTAAAAGGTATAATCAGATCTAATCAGTACACAAAAAACAAGCTTTGGGCTCCTTTAAGAGCTGTAGATAAATGAAAAATGTATACATTTATGTTTCTTGGGAAAATAAATCATTACTAATGAAAAACATAGTGAAGATTTGAAATCAAGTGACACTCTTGCATAAAGTCATCCATTGAGTTCCAAAATCGAACGGAAGATTTTTAAAATGGTCCGTGATGACCAGTAATCAAACTTGTGCCCAACCGACCATACATGTTTAAAGTAAAAATGTAAAGTAGAACTATTTTTAAATATTATTTAGGTACAAGTTTGTTCAGAATTCACCACAAGTATTCAATTTTACAGCTATCCACGGAGGTGACTTGGGTCTGGTAATCACGCAGTATATAGGCCTAATCGGTTCTCTACAATGGGGTATGAGACAATGGAGTGAAATGGAAAACAACATGACATCAGTGGAACGAATATTGGAATACACAAAACTAGAAAGTGAACCCGAAAGAGCAGAAATCAAAGACCTACCCAAAAATTGGCCAGAAAAGGGTCAAATTGAATTCAAGAATGTGTACTTGAAATATAGTGAAGCTGATCCTCCCGTCCTCAAAAATTTAAATTTCATAATTAAGCCAAAAGAAAAAATTGGAATAGTAGGGCGAACTGGTGCAGGAAAGTCGTCAACAATTACAGCTCTGTTTCAGCTATATCCTGTAGAGGGTTCTATAAAGATAGATGATGTAGACACCACCAAGATGCCTTTGGATCAAGTTAGGTCGCAGATAGCAATTATCCCACAAGAACCAGTTTTGTTTTCAGGTATTTAAGGTGGTTTCTGTTGAATTATCCATGATAATAATTCAACAATTTTCACACTATGACATTTATTCAAAACGCGTTTTATACTGTATAAATTATTATCATGGATACTGTTATTAATTTATTTCATTGGTCCAGAGTATTCTAAATTTGAGTTCAGTTAGTTTGTGAAAATTTTGGATGAAAAGGTAATCTGAATCTTTTCTTTGAAATGTTTCACATCAAAGTAATATTATATTTAGTATATAGAGAATCTGGAAATGTTTCGGCAGATGGAAGTGAAATTAATTTTCAGTAAATGAATATTGATCAAACATTTTTTTCATATAAATAAGCTCAGGTAATTGATACTCTCATCTACATCTAGTATAATTTTCTAAAATGTGAAAAAATCAATCCCCAATATACTTGACAAAATTTCAAGGAAATTCTACATTATTTTCCTTGAAACCTGGTAAACTTTCAAATAAAAAAAGAAAGCAAATAACTTCAAAATAAACTCTTTACAGAGATGTGTAAATGATACGAAGACGTAACTTTCAGACACAAACTAAAAGCAAAAGCTCTCTCAAAACAACTTCTTTCATATAAACATTGAATTACACGAAAGAAAAAGTACTTTCAAAACAACTACTTTCATATGAACATTGAATTATACAAAAAACACTTTTTCCTATTCAGTTCGTACTACAAACATTCGTTATGGAATTTTATCAGATATTATTCACAGGATTGTTACACAATATAGTGTATGAAGAGGGTTAAAATTTCATTTACATCAGTAACCCACATTTCAATCTTGCTTTTGATATAGATTTTTATCAAATATCGTCCAGTTGCATTCAAGTATGTTCAAAATATAATTTGTTTGTAGAAATTAAAATAGTTGAATAAAAATCATACTCTCCCTTTTTTAAAATTGGTCTGAATTATAAATTTTTCTATAACCATTTTCCTAATACGGTTAGAACATTGTGAAAAAGCATTGTTGATAAAAACATATCACTTTAAAAGGCATTATAAGTTGAAAACAGTAATACTAAAGATCCCTTTCAATATTATAAATTATACATCATGAAATCTCATTGTCATAAGGATAAATTTCCATTTTTTTTTAATTTAACGAGGTTTAGAAAACGTATACTGTGAGAAATATTTTATGATACTAATTATCCGAATTAGTTCAAAAGAATGTTCAGTATGAGCATCTGACCCACTTTTGGATGACAAAAATACCATATTTAAAAGAACCTCAATTCAAAAATAAACTATATATGTAAACAAATTCTAATGGTAGTACTAACTGCGGCAAACTGGTTAATAAACAACTTTTTAATATAGAAAATGCTGCATTATTGGGCTTACCATAAATATTACCACAAATATGAACATTTCACTACTACAATCACTTTTCGAAAGTAAATACTTTTCCGTTCTCAAAAATCTTGATTGGAAATATGTATATTCACTATTCGAATCATATGAGATTGTAAGAAAGGTGATAATAAAAATAATTCTACTCTAGTTAGTGACTAATTAGATTCAATAAAAGTGTTGCCGTTTTGCTGTTTTACTGCGCGAAATGACATGCTCCTTCATAAATAAAACTCCGTTAAAAAAATATGCGGAGGCGGATTAGAAGAATCATTTCATCCGGGCTCCACCCTGCTAGAGGTTATTAGAGATCATGTTTTCGAAAATATAAGAATTTACCTTGTAATTAACTTGCATTAGAGGTTTTGGTTTGCAAGTTTCTCGAGTGTTGCAAATGCATTATGTGCAGGAGTATATTTTAATAGAGTCTTTATATATTCGTTTCTATAAAAGATGGAATACCATGATCATCTTGTCAAGATGGTGCTGTTAGATTTTTCCCAGTTGAAAGGTAGAGATGGAACCTCTGGCATAGGATTATTTCAAAACTAACACTGCTCCCACACACCAGAACTACAACACTTTTCTCAACAAATCATCAATATGGTGTGGGAGCAGTGTTTCAGATTTTATCCAACATTTTGCCTTGTAGCTATCTGAAGAATAATATGCTGGATTACTAAAACGTTGTTTCGTAATTTTTATGTTTTGATATCAGAACTTTTCAATGCAACCTACGATTTTGGTTACTTGATCCTCTTAATTCAAGATTAATAATTTTGGAAATATATCCTGAATAGGAAATTTGAGAATTTGATAATGCAAAGCAAAAATTTTAGAGTGACTTCACTGGAAACTAGGATGAATTCATTCAAAACTTTTTTCCAAGTCGATCATCTTCATTGTTTGAATTGCACTTTATTAATTTTAGATAAGTGTTACTGGTATGATTTTTGGTGATCAACCAGTATTAGTTGAATGAATGAATTTGATCATACTAAAGAAAAGCCAAGAATAATGTTGATTATACTAAAAATTTCGACAAAAAATCCGTGTTCCCCTACAACTCAATTCCTAAGATCACGTTGAATGAACTAGATACTAGATGAAACTGACGGAATATTTAACAAATGACAAATGTGTGGCATTAATTGTTCAAGGGCTACAACTGATTTTTACATTCAGTGGATGTTTTTATACAAACGTTCATAATGAATTCTCGAACTATAATCACCTGTGGAAATAGAATTATTTAATCATTGTTCATTTGTAAATAAATTGAAACCATAAAAAATCTATTGAATTATTTATTTTCTAAGGTTCGATGAGGAAAAACCTGGATCCATTCGACCAATACTCTGACGACGTATTATGGGATGCACTAGATCAAGTTGAATTGAAGGAAGAAATAGCTGAACTTCCAGCCGGTCTGAATACAAAAGTATCCGAAGGTGGCACCAACTTCAGCGTCGGTCAGAGGCAACTGGTCTGTTTAGCTAGAGCAATCATCAGAAACAATAAAATATTGGTTCTAGATGAAGCTACTGCCAATGTTGATCCTCATACCGATGCACTCATCCAGAATACGTTGAGAGAAAAGTTCGTTGATTGTTCGGTTTTCACAATTGCACATAGGTGAGTAATCAATATTAACATATGTTCTTAAATGAATATTACTGGAGTTTTTCTTCCCAACACCAAATCATTATTTTTAACACCTCAACATGTGTTTTGATCACCGAGTGATCATCTTCAAGAGGAAGATTAAACTCCTTTTCCTCTTGAAGATGATCACTTGGTGATCGAGGAAGATTAAACGCCTTTTCCTCTTGAAGATGATCACTTGGTAATCGAAACATGTGTCGAGGTGTTAAAAATAACGATTTGGTGTTGGGGAAAAAACTCCAGTAATATTCACTACTACACCAAAGGTTCCAAACAGTGCATCATAAGTACATATGTTCTTAAGTTAATTAAAATGACTCGAGACAATGGCGAAAAACCTCACAACATTAATTGTCAATGTAATGACTGTCGTTATGCGAATGTGAAGTACTTAGATAAGCAATTTATGGATAGCTTGAAATATGTTTAGGAGCATAGGACAAACATCCAATAAACGACCTGTACAAACTATAGTCGATTTTCAAAAACTGTGCAGTATTGAATCACTCAAAACAAATAAGTCCAATGGCGTGCTTAATTTTGAGACAGCAGTAAATTAAAAAATGTCCTTTTATTTTATTATTGTTGAGTTTCTATAAGTATGAAGCTGATGCTATAAATTTCCCGGATTTTTTTTTGCATCTTGCAACCTCTAATTTGAAGAAATAAACTAGTCCATCCCTGAAGTGTCTCGTCTCTTATATATACAGGGTGTAACTAAATAAGTGTAAAACATTTAAGTAGGTGATTCCTCATCGAAAAAAANCTATTGCTAATAGCGACCTACTAGATAGATTAGTTTCGTATTTTCGCATTTATGACAGTGTATCTTTGTAGTTGTTCGTAAAATAACTTTTTGCTGCGAACTGGTTTATTTTGGGCAAAAAACCCAAGAGACATTTATTGTTTAGAATGAAACAGGTTATCGGAAATGACTTTTTAAATGGTAAACAAATAATAAGACAAAAAGTTACATTGGAAATAAATTTTAGGGGTTGCGTTTTCCACTCCTTACAACCATGGGGTAAACCAAATAAATTTCTGACTAACTGTCTTTTTGGTAGTACAAAACGTCAGGTTAATTTCAATATTGTAACTTTTTCAGTGCTTGTGAAAAAAATTGTTATATATTTAAGGGGCTGTATCTTAACAAGGGATGCTCCAATGAAATTTCTTTATATGAAAGAGCCTATTTTTTTTTCGATGAGGAATCACCTACTTAAATGTTTTACACTTATTTAGTTACACCCTGTATATATAAGAGACGAGACACTTCAGGGATGGACTAGTTTATTTCTTCAAATTAGAGGTTGCAATACTGTAGTCCGGGTTGAACCGCGCCTGTAGTTTTCTTTTGTTCGACGTTTTGGCTTCTGCCATTTTCAAGAACTAATTGACACTGAAGTTACATGACTTGACGACGGGGTCGTAATGTACCTACCTGACCCCTAAGTCTCGTCACTGGCTTTGGTCTCACTTTGTTCAGTCACCTTTGGCACATCACCTTCCACCTTGGCTTGGGCATTTGGTACCTTTCTTAGTCCTGCTTCTCCCTCTCGACTCGTTGGGTATGTGAGACCCTGCTGGTAGCTATGTTACCACCGGCATGGCTTTTAGGTTCATAAAAACTCACAAGCCCCACAACCACGACAAGGTGAAGGTATCTTCAATGGTTTCATTTAAGACACTAAATTCGGCTTCATCATCATTGATACCAACTCTATATATGGTAGAGTGTTTTCCATTTTCAAAAAGATGGAAGTCTACAGCAGATATTCCTGTATGTCTTGTACTCCTAGAAAAAAAAATATTTAAACTTCAAATTCTATCCATATTAAATCTTTTATTTCAGATTACATACAGTTATGGACTCTGATAAAATATTGGTGATGAACGCAGGCACTGTGGAGGAATATGATCACCCCTACATTTTATTGCAAAATGAAAATGGAGTTTTACGCAGCCTCGTTGAGGCAACTGGATATTCAACATCAAAGCATTTGGAAAGTATTGCAGAAGAGGTAATATTTTTAATTGATGATTTGTTATTTGATCACTTCCCACAAGGCGTGTTTTAAGTGGAGAAGATAGTTTCAAATTTGATATGATGCAGGATAAAAATAATCATTAGCATTTGCTGTAATAGTTTTTTAATCATATAACGAGTAAGCATATACGTGTAAATTGAATCATCACAAATCACACCTTCTATGCACTTGTTTACTTGAAATAGTGATGCATGGAATAGTTGATGAGCCAAATTAAATATCGCTGTGCTCTTTACAGGTTGACAATGGTACAGAAAATCTAGTTAAATATGAACTAGTTGGGGAAACATTGAAATGGAAAGCCAATGTATGCCCTCATAAATTTTTTCGTTGAAAGTACTTGGTTTCGGCTGGGTCCAAAGACGTCAGCAGGTAGTAAGAGACCACACTTTCCACGCTAGAAAATGTAAATATTATTAATCCATTTCTCAGTCATTTATTGATGGATTCCAAAAATTTTTTCGCCGATTTCTCAGTTTCAATTTATATTTTAATTCCATTGAGTTAAATATGATGATAACATCATGAAACTTCTCCATTAACGTAATTTTTTGGCTGATTCAAACATCAAAGTTTTGTCACAATGTGAATCAATGGGAGCAATTCATACACCACACTTTCATTTTTACATTTTCTTTTACTTCAACAAATATTGTGTGGGTGTGTACTTTTTGTGTAAAGAATCCTTAAAGTAAAAAAATATGCACGTGTTAACTGGCAGTGTAGTCATTTATTATTTGTAACATAATCCTGGTCTTTGTTGGTATTGAAATTCTGTTATTATTTATGAACGGTGGGTAGATAGCTAGATAGGGAGGTCCAAAGTGAGTGGGTCTATTTGACAACTCATGAGAATTTGTTGTGATCACACCAATTCCAATTCGACCAAATAAGTCCATGTCAGATGGCAAGAGTGAAATCCTGCCAAAAACTTGACTCATTCCGCGAAGATACAGACACAGAATGTAGAAAAATGACCAGCTGGTGATATTGATTATATACCCTATATATATATGATATTAAATATTTTGAGATAGCCTAGGAGATGGTTCTTGATAGAGAGAATAGAGTAGAATACATGTATACAAAAAGTAGGAAATATAGTTTCTGGAAAATTATTTTGATATTTCTTTACACAGTATATGTGTTGTTTCATCATTTTTCAAACAAAGAAAGGATTGAGAGACCTTGAAAGTAGGCGTATTAGACAATGTAGATCATTTCCGCTGAAATCTAAAGATTGTTTGGCAACATAATTCGAAGGATGTATGAATGCATTGGAATGGGACAATCCTAGTAAATTTCACCAGTCACTCTTCTTGCAGTCCAGATATTTGGTGTTTAGCAAAGCCTAAAGCAATGCCATTAATAGGTTCTAATCTGATTAAACTGCTTGGAAGAGAGCAGTTTCATCACATTCCAGGCCAGTGAAGCTAGGAATTCAGACCAAACTAGGATCTCAGGTCTCAATTTGTTGCGTCTGTCTGTTGGGTAAAGACTTTTTCAGCAATTCTCTACTAACTTGGACGTTGCTTGGTAACAGCCAAGTCCTTCCAAAGCACAAGTCAATGGATTAGATTTCCATTTGAAATATGTTTGTATAGGTCCCTAGGCAGATTGATATCTCTGTCCTGGTCTGCTCTTGGTATTTCCTCCTCCCAGAAGATTCAATTCTCTCTACTTAGGATTAGGATAGTATGAAGCAGGTCGTAGTTAACAGTTGGAGGCATTAAGTTGAAGATTATTCCCAGAATGCTGTGAGTTTGAGTATCAGCCAGTAGCCTGCTATGCTCCACATAGCATTTGTGCAATTGACAATGTATGTTGTCCATCCAGCCTCTTTTTCTATCTTTCATCTCATTATTGGTTTGACAATCATATATTTCCAATCAATTTGTTTGGGCCCTATTTCTTTGGAATAAATGATAACAAATCATCTGACCATGGTTGAAGATCACCCTTTATTATAACATCAAATTTGAAACTTTCATTTCCACTAATAACAGAGCAGAGAATTATTAATTTTTTTAATCAATTTTGTTTTCTGTTTCAGAATTATTTGAAGAAGAAAAACGAATAAAGAAAGTTTCCACACTTGAATCAATAGAATACAATTCCATTATATCTCTATGCCATTTAGACTGTGATTTGATAGAATATGTACCCTTATTATTTACTCCAGTATTTTCTATGATTTAAATAAAGTGAAATTGAAGATTACATATGTTTTTAATAAAGATGTGAATTGCATTATCAATTTTAAATAAGTTCCTACGAAAAGTAATATACTTTACCTTATTTTTCTGATTGACTCGCTGTTACTAGATGAATATCCATAGTAGTTTCACAAACTACACCAAAAACAATTTGATCTTAACAAATTTTATTTTCAAAAATATCACGACATGTTTCGCTAATCCTTTAACTAACGTGGGATATATAAAAGTTAGAGTGAAGAATTAGTTTATAGTATGTTATTCACTACCAAAAAGCTACTGTAGTGATGGCGAAACATGTCATATTTTTGAAAATAAAGTTTGTGGATATCAAATCGCTTCCGGTGTAGTTTGTGAAAAGTAATATATGTGAAAACTCAATTAGGTTTCAGTAATTTCCTCAATATCTTTACAACCATTAATCAATGAGTGAGTAATAAAATACAACTGAGTAAGAATGAGTGGTCTTATCAAAATTTTGTATTGATCAATTCTGCAGATACTGAGTTCTACAAAAATATCTGTATACTTTTCTCAAGGTCATATTATTTTAGAAAAAAAATTCCTGATGAATCTGGATAGACTGAAAATGTAGAGATTAGTTCTAGAACTAACTTTATTCATCTTGAAGATTTTTCTCATAAATAGCATAGTTTGGGGATTATTTGAGAAATTGTAGATTCATCTAAGAGTCCTGGTATTCTTTCATTAGACATCAATTTCTAGACCTTGGTTACTTCTAATCATAAACACTTTCAAGAATGGTAACTCCCCGTCTTCAATTTAATATGTAAACTCAATATTTTGGAATCTGTTGTTGAAATCTGAAACAAAATCCTCTACTTTGGATTTCTTGGTGTCAAAAAGTCTGGAAAATACTCCAACTCCTCTTGTGCTTCCAATTCAGATCTTTTCATTAACATATCAGCTACAAATGGGAACAGTGGATTTCGTAGTGCCTTAGTGTTGTCTGTAGAAATGGTGGTTGAACTGGAAGCAATTCTGTTCCGTGCAGGTTTTTCTTGGTTGCAAGTAGTCTTTGATTATTTCTTCATTGGGACCACTGACCCCCAGAAGCTCTCTCAAATATCAAATAGTTTTTGGTATAGGAACCCTCGGAAACGAAGATACATTAATTGATACTCTATGAATTCACATGAATCCTCTATGAATTCATGTGAATTAACAACAAACTATTTAATTAGCCATTTAGCAATTTTATAAGTGAGGAAACTTATGGAGGAAACTATTAGTTTCACTGTCTTGATAGACTTCTGAATTTTTGGTTGACCATATATTTGACCATTTGACCATATACTGTTAGATTAGGATATTAGGTTGAAGTCAACGAGGAAATACAATTTTCGGATGTCTCTGTTATTAGAAGTAAATGGGATCTAGAATTTTAATACTTTTTGATATATGAGTACCTGCTCACTCGTCATTGCTTGTTTGTAATTTTTTGGCCAAAAACGACACCATAATCATGCCCCAGCCACCGTATTCACCAAATTTGCCCCCCTGTGACTTTTTCCTGTTCCCAAGATTGACGAGATCCATGTGAGGTTATTGTGAAATCTACATATTTGTGGTATTTGTGTTGAACTAACCTACAAGAAAAGTCTAACAAATTGTTGCCCACTATACTGCAGGTACTACTGTTATAATTATTCTTATCTGTTTCCATAGAGTTCCTTGATGAGTCAGATCCATTAAATATATGGTATTTTTGTCATCCAAAAGTGATCTGTTATTATAGGTGCTCATACTGAACATTTCATCTCATTTTACACTTTGTAAAACCATGGTAAAATTCAGAATTTATCAATAGTAACACCATGGTACCTCAAAATTTTATCAATAAATGCTATTTCTCAAAAATAAAGTTTTGAGTTGAGAAAAATGGACATTTATCTGTGAAAATTGTTAGAGTGAGTGGTATTTGTAAAGATTATTTCCTGAAATATTCTCGGCTGAATGCAAAAAAATTCCTATCAATCCTCAAATTAAATAAATTTTAATACTTTAATAACGAGAAGTTTCAGCAAGAATATTTGTTGGAAAGTACAATGTTCGAATATATGAACTGAGTAGGTATGTAAATAACTGAGTCCTATTTTTCAACAATAGCCGACCTACTTGATACGGCTAGATGCATCACCAATACATCACGTATTCTTTTTGATCTCTTTGAAATTTAGAATGACGTTTCAATTCGAATTGAAAATGTCTTAATAATACAAATAAGTTTCGATTATGATCTTGAGATTTCTGGATATCATACATAAATTGTTGGTATTGCAGGAGGAGTTTCAATTGAAGGTTTTTTGTCTTATTTTCGTGAGGTTATGTGAGTCAGTGAAGTGTAGCAATTCATTTTTCCTTTCGGTCCTGTACGTCTTCATTGTATATCTGAGTTTATATATTCATTTGAGTTGTCTCAGTAGAGTTAGGGTTAGTTACTGTCATAATCATAGGTAATATCAAATTATTCCTGTGAATTTCTGTAAAATCATCTATGCAAAGATTATACAATCATATTTGAATGTATGATTCCATTGGTCCAACTTAATTTAGACAGTGATAGTGATTGATCATGAGAATTATGTGTATAGGCCCAGGAGTTATATATAAATTAAGAATAATTACACCTATATTTCATTTCAAGGCTGTCAGTTTTATCTCTGTTGGAAAGAAGCATTTTATTGCTATAAAATTCTGTTTCAGTGGCCTAGCATTCAATTTTTTCATCTTTTTATCAGTTTAGAGGAAATAATCAAAAGAAAGACATTCGATGTATTTCATAGGAACTTCAAGTACTGTCTGAAGAGGGCAACGGGATCAAAAAGACAATTCAATAAAGTACCAACAGTATATTGACCCATTCATGCCATAAATCACAGCTAACAACCAAGTTGGTCATTACTGGTACTGATAAAATCCAACTGAATTACAAACTCCTGGCATTATGATTCCTTGCCCAGAAGTAGGCAAGAAAAAGCAGACATTATAACAGCAGGCTATTTGTCGGTCAAGGTGTACAGCAAGCAATAACAAGATTTTATTTGATGACACTGACATTATTATTAGCAGTATGTATGTACATTATCGAAATGACTGTGATACCACTTTACAATTTTTTGTAATTGGAAGTTGATTTAAGTTGTGAAGAATCTTCAATGCAATAATGTATAGAAGTGTGCTCAAGCTTCATAGCACATTGCTGTAGCTACATGAAAGAAGTTCAAAACATGGCAGATGTTTGATACAACGTTTTGTTAACTAAGAACATTTCTCCAGAAATTAAGAATCTTCCTCTGATAACAGAGGCATTTGAACTCCATATAAATCGATAGGTACCATTCAAAAGCTAGCATTAATTTTCCTCCACCTTTGAATCCAACTGATTATGGAAGGGCAAAGAATGAAGCATGCAGGATGTTCAATAGCAAGAATTGTGCACATGTAGGTCTGTCTTTGATGACAGTGAAATGTATAATTTTATTTTCTGTAATATTCTATATAAATATTATTTAAATTCAAATAAAAACTACATACTTCATATTTATCACCTTTTTTACCTAGTATTCACATAATAAACACTTTATTGAACTAAATTGATGGATGTAGCCGTTACTACGTGGAAGGAGATCATAATGAAGAAAAGAGAGTTGAAACTTTCTACACTAAACTATAAAAATTTAATTTTGGTGTGCCGACTTCTTTTCATTTTCATTCCCAATAAAATGTTGAGTTCTGTTTTTGAACACCATGATGTTAAAAGTGAAATTTGACCAACACAGTATGGTTCAGACTAGAAATAAACAAAAAATAATAGTTGAACCTTAAATTCAAGGTCCAAAGCATGGTCTTTATCCAAAGGAATATTTTCTCATTTCGAACAATTTTTTCAGGATTTAAATCCTTAGAAATGACATTAGCTTTGTATATAGACTAATTAACTATACACTAGTCTATATACAATATTAGCATTTTATTAGTTAAGGCAGCGGCCTCTATTGTTCGGAAACAAAAGTTATACGAGAAAGGAGGCTTGCTGAAATGCTAAGATGAAGAAATCTTTGAATTTGTGAAGAATATCCCGAAACAGACCACAGACTTGCGTTTGAGGGTTTGACTAATAAATAACTAGTTATTGTTACTAGTTGCCGCAGATGTTATTTAACTCGAAAAGTTGGTATACCGTTTCTCACGGTTTCCAGAAAATGGTTACATCAACCAGTTACCTTGTGTGAGCAATTTGATTGTGGTGAGTCCAGAAGGGACGCTGTGTTTTGACGAATGTAGTTTCCCAGATTTGCAGGTAAACATAACCTCAATTTATTTGCCATATTTTGTCTTTCATTTCTGTAGGAAAAGAACCAAGGAAGTGAACAGCAACGCATGCTGAATTATACGAATGAAAATGACACCAAACGTCCAGCTGAAGGTGAGACAAGTATTGATAGAATTTAGGTGACCACAAAAAATCTAGTTCAAGTTAACTTATACAGGGTGTCATGCTGAATCAACCTGATGACACAGTTTTTCTTGTTATGGAATTTATAATTTCATTTGGATTCTTTTATTATTTATTTGTTCTATTGAGTCATATTCCGAAACTATCCTCTGAATGCTACCTGCCATAAGATCCACATTTAACTTAAACTTTATATAGTACAGATTGTGCCCATAGAGATCTGAAAGGCATACTTCAAAAAATATGAACCACCAATGGGAATATTCTAATTAAAAAGCAGATAAAGGATTAAAGTTAACTAAGTGCATAATGTGTATACATTTACAGTTGTAGCTGGTTGTGTGTAATCTGTTTGTTACTGATGTAGAAATATGGTTCAAAAGATGAAGGTTCAGCAAATAACTTATAAAGTTGTACAAAATATGTGCACACCCATTTTTGAATATTTGTGAAGCAAGTGACCATTAAATAATTCTATCAATGATAATACTTATAGAATTTCCACTATAAATTTCATTAAAGCTATTTAATTTATTAAGAAAATTCTATAATTATCATCATGGAGAGTGTTATTAATTATCATTAAGTAACGGGTCAGAGTATTCATAATATAATAATTCGATAAAATTTTGAGACTGCAAAAAACTTTCAAAAATCCAAAATATTACAATCTATATGAATAATGTGTTCTTAGAAACAATCAAAACTACTATAAAATGAGATGTCTCCTTTAGGTAGACATGTGATTCAAAATTGTTAATGATTCTTTTTCGTCATTTGACAACTCTATTACTACTTTCTCCAGATACTTTTCGAATAAAATGAATTCTTTAATTACATTGTTAATTACATTTAATTACATTGTTATGAATCCGGTCCTATCTGCATCTGTAGAGTAGGGAGGGTGAGTATAAGCCCACAGCACTTAGGCCACATGTGACCCATTGTACATCTTCCCGAGGAGTTGTCCTCCTAGGCCATCGCCCATCCTGTCCTTTCCAGGAAGGTGGACAGGTTACTTGGAGACATCTCCTTTATATCGGCAGCTGTAGTCCAAGACTCGCCAAAAACACACTCTCTTATTGACGATAACTTCGGGCACTAGCATAGGCATGCCTGACAGTCTCATCTTCCTGTTCACACATCCAGCATAGAGGTGTGTCCACTAGCTCCATATTATGGAGGTATTTCCTTAGTTGACAGTGGCCAGTCAGAAATCCTACTGTTAAGCGTAGATTTTTCCTGGTAATCGCCAGATATATCTTCGGCGCCAGCTTCCAAGTGATCCTGGCAAACTAGTGAATGTGATAATGATTGAGAAGTAGTGAAGGTCGAGGAAGGATATATAAGAGAAACTTTGCTCCAGAAACTTTGCTCTGCCTATTCAAGCACATGGAGTTGCAGAGAGAAGTTCAGTTAGCGTGCATAGTAAGCGAAGTAAACAAGTTAAATAATTGTGATAATTGTAGAAAAAGATGATTATTACTTTGTTGAGTGTCATTTATTGAATTTAGGCATTGAACAGAATCAAAAATTGTGGCCAGTTGCAAATTACAAATTGAATATGGGATTATTGAAAAATGAAGGCTTCTACGAAAAAAAGTACAAGACCTTTTTTTGTAGATAATTTTATATCAAAAAACATAAAGTTTTTAACTCATTTTATCAGGCTACTGATAGTTCCGACATTAATAAAAAAATATTTTTCATAAATTTCAGTTCGATTCGAAACAAAAAGTCTTTTCTCGGATTTGTCAGAAATATACTTAGAATTGTCAGCTGTAATCAGCAACGAAATTCCAAAAGGCTATATGTTTTCGAAAGGAAATAACCAAATTGTGATAAATGTATATTTCATTCATTTAATTAAGTATTTTCTCGGATTTGTCAGAAGTATACTTATAAAATGAACAAGAAAAAACATATCTTCGACAATTATTTGCTTTGGTTGTTCGGTTAATTGAGCTTCTGATAAACTTAAAACGACTTTAAAATATTATTGAAAAAGTACTCTTAATAGTTGTGGACCTTTTCTCTCCTATATCTAACAAATTTCTAAATTCAGCAGAGCAGAAATAACTGTTTGTTGCAGAGAAATGAGTAACCCTAAAACAATTAATTGGGGTCAAATTTTAACTATTTTCATTGACTTCTGAGAAAAAATTTCAATAATAAAATAGTGACGTATGTTTTATTTCGAATTTGTGACTTGAGACTGATTACATTCTTTGATAATGAAAAAATATTATACTTTTATGATTTCTATTATAGAAACTACCGTTCAGTGGTAAAATTATATTTTTATTTGTTATTGCTGATACTACGGATCGTGTGGCCCATACTAAAAATAACCAGTTCAATTTTTTTTCGATATACACATTTTTTTGCCATTGACTAGCTCAACAGAAAACTGCGAATATTGATGCATATTCGTTTGCAAATAAGATACATATGTAGATATTCATTCGAGGGAAAAAAATAACTAGAAGGAAGCAATGTCCCATCCATTAGAAAGTTTGTTTGCTGCCACTTGTAGACGCGCGAGAAAAAGAGAGGGAAGCGACGTCATTCATACTCGCCCTCAAATTATTGATTTTGAGATAAATGAAAGGTTAGACAAACCCAAGTTTATATATATGCCACAGTGATCACCAAAGCCATTTTGGATGGATTTACATACCTGTGGACCAGGATCCGTCCGCTACCTAGAATTCTGGGGACAAAGGGCAACTAGGTAAAAATCTTTTCATTTTTATAAACCCAAAATGAAAGTTCTCTCCTCGCGGCCAGCATGTGCCCATGAAGTTCTTGTAAGCTTGTTATGGATACAACTCGACAAGGTACATATTTTGTATCTAAAGCTTTAAGAATTATTGAAACTGTTTATGTATCTTAACACTATTTGGTTTCAAATAAAACATTTTTTATACGACCGAACATTTCAACAAAAAAAATCAATCAGGTAGATTTTCCCAATAAATTTTATTTAGACAAACTCAATAAGCACACGAGCCTGTCTGATTTATCACCATTATAACTTTAAAATATCATATGTAGCTATTTCAGGTGGTCATATAAAAAAATGTGTACAGGTCAGATAAATAAGTGTCTCAACCAACCCCATTCCAATGTTTTCACTGACTTGTTAGTTACAGGAATTTGAATTTGTTGTATATTTAATAAAGATTACATCAAGAAAGGAACTTTTAAACTTGGATATGTTTTTCATGGACGGAAAGTTTAAACAAAATTTCTCTATTTTGTAAAGTTTATTCAATGAGAATTTTAAATTTCTTTGTATTATATCAATATCTGAATGTATTATTTGGGAGGTATTCTAATATTTTGCAGAGTTACCTGGTGGTTTTTATATGTTTCTCAAAAAAAACCTGCTTTAGAATTTTTTTTTTTAATAGTTTGTTGAATTTTCATCACTCTTCATCTTCTCTATTAGATACCCGCGAGTAATCATTTGTTGGAAATATTCCAAATGCTAATTTTCTTTATCATAATGGTGGAAGAATTTATTACTCAAAGTAAATGAATAAAAGATGTTTCAAGAAGGCTTTTTCTTCCGGTTTGTGCCTGAAAGTTACTTTTATGCATGATCTACGCATCTTTTGTATATAGTTAATTTTATTGACTGCTTTTTTTCTTGCTTTAGAAGATTCCCGCATCTTTTTTTGTTTAAAGATAGAGAAGATGATTTCGACTAGGTTTATTCTGGTTAGAATTAGATGAGTTAGGTGACTGCTTAGAGTACAGTCAAATAACATTTTTGCTGTTTTTGTTATTTTTGGTAAATCAATAGGCATGCAGTGCAATAAAATTAGAGCCTGTTCTATTTGCTTGCAATAGTCTTGAAATTGCTGTGGAACATTGCCTTGCATTCGCGCTTGCGCAGACGCAAAATTGCATGTGGAATGAAAACAATTACGACAATGTAGGCCTTTAGATCTTATGAATAAAAATGAACAAGAAAAAACATATCTTCGACAATTATTTGCTTTGGTTGTTCGGTTAATTGAGCTTCTGATAAACTTAAAACGACTTTAAAATATTATNTAGATACCCGCGAGTAATCATTTGTTGGAAATATTCCAAATGCTAACTAATTTTCTTTATCATAATGGTGGAAGAATTTATTACTCAAAGTAAATGAATAAAAGATGTTTCAAGAAGGCTTTTTCTTCCGGTTTGTGCCTGAAAGTTACTTTTATGCATGATCTACGCATCTTTTGTATATAGTTAATTTTATTGACTGCTTTTTTTCTTGCTTTAGAAGATTCCCGCATCATTTTTTGTTTAAAGATAGAGAAGTAGAAAACAAAAACCTTCCTTTCCCAACAGGTCTTTTGCACTAGTTGGCTCTTAGTAAGTACGGTGTAGCCGAGTGCATGAACTGGTGAAATAAATGTTGTCATTTTGTATTTGCTAATTGTTGCACAGCTCACTTAGTAAAAAAAAGATTCATTAGTGTTATCGAGATCACTTCAAGAAATCAATTTTCAAAGCAATGTCGACAACCACAAATCTGTATAGATTACTTTCATGTGCCAACCTTATCGAAATTCCTTTATTAGCATGAGTTGACAGTTGACGTGTTATAGTGTGCATTCGTACAATTGTAATGTAGTTTTTCACGTTACTTTGAACTCTTCGTTTCGGAAAGGTGAAAGGAAGTAATAAAGGTTAGTCACGTTTTCGGGCACCTTTATCTGACTAAGCTTTTGGGTTTGACAAGAGTACAAAACTCGGTGTAGGTAGAAACAGGTAAACCATTGAAGATGGAATTCGAATGCAGTGTTGTCAGATCAATTGAAATATATTTCTGTGACTATTAACATAGTCGTTCTTTCAAAAATTGGATATAACTGACCGATTCTTGAAAAAATTTAAATTACCCTAACTGTGAAAAAATCTGTTGAAATATGTTTTTCCCTTAACCCCTTCCTACAAACGACAAGTCT